CTTTGGTGGCATTAGCTCGGCACTTGTTATAACCAATTTTTAACCAATGCAAGAAACAATGTAAAAACAATGTGTAACATTTCTCTGGTTAGATTAGATGGAGCGCCTTTGGTTATACCATGGGTTTCGTGTTAATACATTGTTTTCACATTGCCATTGTGTTTTCGTGTTGTGACGTTGCACCGCGCTTGGTGCAAAAATTTCGCACTATTTTAATGTTTTTGAACGTGGAATGTGAAAAAAATGAAACTGAAAAAAAATAGTTAGCCCATGCAACGTGTCATGATCTGTAGAATGTTCGTACCAAGTTTGGAGAGGATCCGTTGAGCGGTGCGGAAACGTATAGCCGGACACACATACACACACAGAAAATCTCCAATTTATAGTAAGATATATTATTAGTAGCATGGTACACTGAACTACTTCTCCTTTATACATGTCTTATATAATTTTATTTGCTGCGCTTATAGATACTACTGTATATATATTTTTATACATGGTTGTAGCAAGGACAATTTTAGTGCTGGCTAATATCAGTGATTGCATCATATGCATAAATTATTATAATAGCAACATGGTGCTTAGCCAGCCACACTGCATGTACTGTGCGCTGTACGATGTGATCAAATGATGATATTGCGCATAATTATTGTTGAGATTAAACTCGGAGTTGTTTTTTAAATTAATTCTAAATGTATCAGTTGTGATTATTTGTAGATTACTTATTATTTTGAAGGTAATTTTACACAAACTCAATTATTTTTTTGCCGGTGGTCGGAAGGATGTTTTGCTTGCCGGCTGGTCAACACCAGAGCTGGCTATTACTGACTGGCGCCGACCGGCGTAGCTACAACGGTTAGAACGGTGTATATATATCGTATAAAATATCTGAAGTTGTGTGCAAATAGAAAACCAATTGTGTTTTTTTAAGTAAAAAAATGTTTATGCATCTTTCTCAAGCAATTAAGTTAATCAAATGAAACAATAATATTACAATAAATAATACAGAACCTGTGACGTCAGTGCGTGTGAGCAGTACGTGCGTGCACGTGTGCGTGTGTGCATGTGGGCGTACGTACGTGCGCGCGTGCATGTGGGCGTACGTACGTGCGCGCGCGCGTGCATGTGGGCGTACGTACGTACGTGCGCGCGTGCATGTGGGCGTACGTACGTGCGCGCGTGCATGTGGGTGTACGTACGTACGTGCGCGCGTCCATGTGTGCGTGCGTCCATGTGTGCGTACGTGCGTGCATGTGTGCGTACGTGCGTGCATGTGTGCGTACGTGCGTGCATGCGTGCGTACGTGCGTGCGTGCATGTGTGCGTACGTGCGTGCGTGCATGTGTGCGTGCATGCGTGCGTGCGTGCGTTCCTGCATGCGTGCGTGCGTGCCTGCGTGCATGTGTGAGTGCGTTCATGTGGGCGTGCGTACATGTGTGAGTGCGTGCATGTGTGAGAGCGTGCATGTGCGCGTGCGTGTATCCCTGTGTGCGCGCGTGCGTGAGTGCATGTGTGCGCGCGTAAATGTGTATGCGTGCGTGCGTGTGTGCATCCGTGCGTGCATCTGCGCGTATACGTGCAACTGTGCGTGCGTACACCTGTGCGTGGATGCATCTGTGCGTGCGTGCGTGTATGTTTGCCTGCGTGCTCGCGTGCATGTGTGTGTGCGCGCGTGCATGTGTGTGCAAGTACGTGCATGAATGTGTGGGGCAGGTGTGCGTGCGTGCATGAATGTGTGGGGCAGGTGTGCGTGCGTGTATGAATGTGTGAGGGGTGAGCGTGTGTGCGTGCGTGAATGTGTGAAGTGGCCGTGCGTGCGTGAATGTGTGAGGTGGTCGCGCGAGCGTGAATGTGTGTGGGGTGTGCGTGCGTGCGTGAATGTGTGTGGGGTGTGCGTGAATGTGTGTGGGGTGTGCGTGCGTGCGTGCGTGCGTGCGTGAATGTGTGTGGGGTGTGCGTACGTGAATGCGTGCGTGGGGATGGTTGCTGTGGGAAATTGAGCATTGAATCATGTGAGAAGATTAACTTGCAACCGTGTGAAACGGTAAACACATTGATTCAGTATTCCGCGCCATTCCTACGTCGAACGCAATTATATGCTCGCAAGGGGGGGGGGATTTCGTTAATAATTCAAGCTCGATTACAAATGTTGCCGTCCAATAATTAATAAACTGCTCCCTGGAAGCGAAATAATAGAGCGTAGCACTTATTGAGGTGTAGTTAGCGTAGCGCAAGTGTCATTAACTGTAAACACCGAACAAGATCGTCGGACGACGCAGCGTATCCACGATACCCTGCCGTCTGTTCGAAAGCACGAATTTAGCGGATTTGTCATGAAGAGAGGAAAGGGAGACGACGATTTGTGTGTGAGACGACAATGTGACAACGATTTGCGTACATAATCTATTATTATACTCTCCTGATAATATAAATATTCAGTCGTCGATGGGACATGGGGAGAAGATTGTGAAAACAGGAAAAATGTAAAGAAATTCGTTTTTCCTTGGCATGTTTGAAGGATGACGCAGTATGTATCGAGCCAGCAGTAAACTTAAGGATGCATGCGTATGTAACACTAATGGCTAATATAAGGTTGAATGACTGGCTGCCATAGATTGTATACGAGGGGATATATAAACAAACGTCAGGCGAAAGCAGCGATTATATACAAATGTGCGAATATAAACGACCACATTCTCATTTTTAGCTCACCTTGACATCGTCGAGCTGAGCTATTGCCATGGGTCGTCGTCCGTCGTACGTCCGTCCGTCCGTCCGTCCGTCCGTCCGTCCGTCAACATTTGGCTTCGGTCAACGATAACTCAGGAACCGTTTGACCCACATGTTTGAAATTGGGTGTAGTTGTTACTGCTATGTTCCCATATTAAACGTCCTATTTTGAAGCACGCCAGTCGGCGTACTTTCGAGCCACGGCGATTTTTTGTCAAAAATGGGAATTGCCATTAGTCAGTTCCGGTTCAACGGATTTTGCTCATTTTTGGTATGTGAATGAATAAGGGTTTTGATATTTAAAAACAAATTATGCAACTTAGGTAGGGTTTGGCAATTATATAGCATATTATATAGACACAAACAGTCTGTGGTGTCACACTCGTCTGGTTCGTTTTACAAGATTTCATTGACAATATCTTTAATGCAAAATTGGTATTTCCTCTTCACCCTGCCGATAAAATGTCTATATTAAAGTAAAGTTTTATAAAACATGTTGGAACGCAGCATAACCTATTTATTTCAAACGCCATCGCTACAAAGCGGGTATAGCGCCATCTACGGTCACAAATTGTGATTCATTTTGGTTTATAAATTATTATTGCGATATACAGATGGCAATAGTTTCTATAATGTACGTCGATGGTTGCGCAATTAAAACTGACTTCTTCTTACTCACTCATTTGTGTCCTTTTTTGTGGTGAGCTACAGTGTCATTGACACTTTCATTATAAAGTACCATGGAAGAAGGCGAAAGGTTAGTCGTAAAAGTTTACGACTGCTGTGCCGATGGGGGGTGTGGATGGCTACGGGATGAGGATGTGAGATGTGTGTCGGTCGCTGTCGCTAAGTGCTATCCTAGAGTTTACAACTTCGCATCTGTAGGAGGGAGTGCACACTGGGGATAGCAAACACGCGGACATAAACTCGTAAATCTCCACCTTCGCTCGCACCACGTTAAGGCGGTTTATCGTAAAAATAATGAAAGCGAAATATACTAACGTGTATTTTATCTTGCCTGCCGCGTGATGGTTCACAAAGTGCGATGTTTTCGTGTTAGTTATCGGACGTCGGAGTCTGTAGCTAGCTAGAGTGTGAACATTTTAGAATACCACAACTCCGGGGTTGCAATCGTTTGGGAAGAGGAGATGGGCGACGAAAAGCAAGAGGGAGTAGAGGGCATGCATGAGAGAGGAGGAGGAACACCCCCCACCCCCACCACCACCACCACACACGCACACCTACCCGAGTGAACATTCGCATGTTACACCATCCGAACCCTGATTGGTAGGTAGAATCTTTCTAAAATTCCGACCGTCTTCGTGAGCGAGTGTCTCGTGTGTTTAGGATGACATCACATTGCCAGCGCACGTGACACTGCGCACAGCACACACGCGGTGCACGTAATCGCTTCAACGAGGGACAACGGTCGGTAGGTAGGATGCTGCTGGTTGCCCTGCTGCTGTGCGGAGCAGCGAGAGGCTGCAGATGCGCGTAATCGCGACGACATTCCGACACAAAGGTCGGCTGTAAGACGCCGCACCGGGGCGCAATGATAGCATTAACTTCCGTAATGAGACTGGCTGTACTGCCGACAAACGTGTCGCCTCGCTCCCGCAGCCCGCCTGCTCTCGCACACTTCTCATTCTCCTGCTTCCTCATCTCCGCTTATATCTATGCTATCCTCCTTCTACACGTCATATACTTTGTATTCCCCTTCTTCCTCTTTCTCTTTCATGTTGCGTCTTATTAGCCTCATTTATTTTTCCAAATCTTACACGCCTATTCAGAACCCCTGAGACTCCTTAATTGTGCCCACCGCCCCACCGGTATTGTAAGATGAGGGAAGGTGGTTAGAGCTCCTCTGACCACCGCCTCGCCTGTACGGTGAGAGAAGGGAGGGATTACAGTCTCTGTACGGTGAGAGAATGGATGGGGTTACAGTCACTGCACGGTGAGAGGAGGGAGGGGATTACAGTCCCTGCACGGTGAGAGGAGGGAGGGGGTTACAGTCCCTGCACGGTGAGAGGAGGGAGGGGGTTACAGTCCCTGCACGGTGAGAGGAGGGAGGGGGTTACAGTCCCTGTACGGTGAGAGGAGGGAGGGGGTTACAGTCCCTGTACGGTGAGAGGAGGGAGGGGGTTACAGTCCCTGTACGTGTATAGGACGGGAGGGTTACTAGTCCCTGTTACGGATGAGAGGAGA